ACCATCCTCGTATAATTCGTATGTTCATATTAAAAATGCATATTTAATTTTTTTTTGCTATAATTTTTTAATACAAAATAATATGCCGCTAGTAAATGAATCGCGTTGCAATAATAATCCTCACGTGCCGTGAGGCATTCGTAAATCTCAGTAAATAACGCAAACTTACACCATATTGTGTTACATACATACATACATATGTATGTGGGTACACCCGCAAGCGTAGTCAGTGCATGTAGAAAAACCCGCGTATGTGCTTGGCACCGGTAGTTGTTTGTAATTCAAACAAAATAGCTAAAAGCTTACTTAAAAACTTATTTATTTTTTTTTACAAATTTTTTTTTGTCTGCATTCGACAAATTTCACGTTAATCATACTTTTCGCTGAGTGTTGAGAAACTGAAACCACTTAATTGAAACAGCGTCAAAGCAATGCCGGAGTAAGTACTTAGAATTTTTACAAAATTCAACTAATTAATCAACGCTCTTGCTGGAACTCTGAACCGCTATGGCAAGAAAATAAAGTGCATGTAGCTGAAGCACAGCTAAGGCTTGCCCACAAGTGACTGAAAAATGATGCAAATACGCACACATACACACGTAAGAACACACACATACATTTATAAGTAAATACAAATACTGTTAATTTTCATTTCGTTGCAAGCAGAGAGCATAAAAAGCGTGTGGCGCTATAGCATACGATATAGTTAATAACCGATTTTCCGCATGGAAATTTAATAATATTTTCAATTTTCTTTGTTGTTGTAATATTTCGCTCACGACAATTTTAAGTTCACATTACTGTCGAAATAAAATATCAGCAAAGCCTCAGCAACAGCCTCAGGCTCAGCGTCAGCCATGAAACAACTACCCGCAGGCAAGTCATCAACTTTCGTTGCATAGCTGAAGGCGCGATGGTAAATGCCAAGCGCTGCTGTCTGGCGCTGACATCGCCACTTAATGTGTTTGTAGTGTTGGATATTAAAAAATAAGGCCGTCAACCAAATATGGTAGAAGCAAATAAAAAGGAGTAAATTCAGTTGCAGAAGTTAAAAGGAAAATTAAAATGAGTTTCATGCACGTAAATAGCGGCGGTCGTTGGTAAAGGCGACATTAAATAGCAGCCATATATTACTGACTTACATACACTTGTACACGTATGTGTAGTGCATGTCAGTAGTGGACGTTGAAGATATTTGAAAAAGTGTTTCAAGCTATCCTTGTAGTCTTTTTATAACCTGGAAAGGTTATATTTAGTTTGACACGAAGTTCGTAGCAACAAGAATGAAACGTCGGGGACTCTACAAAGTATATTTATAAATGATCAGTGTGATGAGCTAAGTCGATTTAGCCTTGTTGGTCTGTCAGTCGGCGCGTCCGCCTATATATATGCAAAGTAGTCACTCAGTTTTAGAGATATCGATCTGAACTTTTGAATACGTCTTTTTCTCCCCAAGAAGCTGCTTATTTGACGAAACCACCGATGTCGGACTACTATAGCATACAGCTGTCATACAAACTGACCGATCAGAATCAAGTTCTTGTATAGAAATCTTTTTATATCCATTCAAGCTATAAGTAATATAATAATACTGAAACTGTGTGAGCCTTTACTTACCAAGGCGTCGAACTCAGAACAGATAATTCAACAAGTTTGAGTATCGAAGATATAATACAAGCTGTCAATAGGTCATACGTGTTCCTAATGAAACTGTTCAAATCAAAGCTATTCAATAGGCAATGTAAGCTAGCTCTATACAAAGCCACCATTCGAACAGTTTTGTGCTATGGAGCAGAATCTTGGAGCCATAAAAGATAATGACGAGTGTCCTAGTAGATGGAGCGATGACTTAGACCAGCTTATAAGGGGTAAAAACGTTATATGCTTTATCAGAGCGCAGCGAATAAGATGAAACGAAAGAAAGTGGTTGATAACTGGTGAAATATTGATTTTTGCCAAAACGTTGTCAAATCTCTGAAATCTCAAGAGTAATGTATAACAAAAATTGAAAAGAGATCAGTAAATTTGCAAAGTTCAACAGATTTATTCGCTCTACTGAAGAGTCATGTATATCCAAAAAGAAGTTATTTTTTCACGCTCTTCATAAAACTGTAGTCACGAAAGTTCAACCCTTTATTTTGCTCGGCACTGCTTCTTCTTATATCATAGTTTAAATGTATAAATTGTATGAAAAAATTGCACATACGCAGTGGATGCTCACAACCACTGTTATTTTTTAATATTAAATATGATTAAAAGCACACAGCAGTTTCAAAAAAAAACATTTACATACAGTTGTGAACATAGAAAGTTAAAAATAAATAAAAACGTACGCCTCCTACAATAAACTGCCAAAAGGATTCTTTAGACGATGATGTCGATTGTATGTGTCTTAATTATTGAGGTTTTTCGTACCAAAAAAAAAATCTTTACTGCTTTTATGGGTAAATACAAGTATTACTAACTCTGTTACATATAACTGGACTTTACTTGATAAAAGATGAAGCTTGCCGATATGGAGGGAAGGTAGTAGGATACTTCTTTATACGTTATTGTCCCCATTCCTTTCTAATAAACTACATAGTATTGCCAATTAACACAAGTTTCTCATAGTGTCCTCATTTCAATGGCAGTTACTGTATTATTTTATGTAAATACACACAATTACACAAATAAGTGCTTGCTACGTTTTTAAATTATTGTTAAGTGAGTAAATGGCTGGCAGTGGACAAAACGAGAAAGTAAATTAACATTATTAATATTTTTTTGTAATATAATTTCATTATGTTTCACATTGTGGGAATGTATTTGTGAGTAAATGTATAGCAAAACGATTGATTAAATAGTTGCTGTTCGCAAACTGAAAGTTCCTTTGAGTGGCGCTAAAGGATAAACCAAAATGGTGTAAATTATGAAAAAATGATATACGAGGTGTAGTCAAAAAGTAAGCTGACTTTATGCAAGCTGTGGATATTCAAAGTCAAACATTTCGAACATTCAATTAACGTAATTAATTATTACCAATATAATTGGTATCGCGTCGAAATTGAAAAAGAATGAGCGGTATCGATTATGAACGCCACAGTTTTCTTCGTTTTTTATACTCCGAACAGTTTGTAACACCCAGAAGCAATTCGGAGACCCTATAACTTATGTATGTATATAAGTGATTAGAGTGAAGAGCTGAGTCGAATGAGCTCTATATTTAGTATAGAGTATATATATATATAAAGTATAGTATAATATTATTCACCAGTTTTGATAAAAGTTAAGTGTAATTACTTTTTGAATACACCTCGTAATAAAATATTTCATTGCTGCATGGATCAATTGAAATTGAGTTGTTTTATAAGCGGAATTACATTGAAATCTGCAAATAAAATCAGTTAACGACAACCGGATGAAAAAGTGTTCAGCTATCCATAAATGATTACCTGTTTGGATAATATTTCAATATGTTTTTACGATTTGTCCGATTTCTAGCTTTTTAGTTGGACGTTCAATTTTTCGGGCACATATCCATTTGAAATTGACTCACTATGAAGTACGCATGCTAAAAAATATTTGGTCTAACTCAAAGCTCATCCTCTATCCAAGAATACTAAGCTTAAAAATAATAATAAAATATTACATCCTGCTAGAAAAAAATCGTTGATGCAAAGCAATGCATTGATGTATAAGTGTTACGGCAAACCTACGGCAGAATATTCAACAGTCAAAAACTGGTTTGCAGAGCACAAATGATGGCGAAAATCCGTTAAAAAATATTTAAATCTCAAAGCAAGGCAAATGACATATGAGTCACCAATTTTTAAGGATTTCTGGAAAAAGATTTCATTCGAATGAGCAGGTCGAGAAGAGAACAAACGCATATTTTGAAGACTTCGATGCTTCCAATATCGTTCCGGTAGCGAAATGTTGGAGGAACGAACGTTGCAGGGGAGGTTATATTGAAGAACTAAGTCATATTACATGTAGTAAACGGTTCTCACATTCTAGACCAATAACTTGATCAAAATACTAGAACAGCACTTTTCGAATAAAATTCTTGCAAAATAAGGTAAGATATCATACATAACATAATATTATTAGTTAATATTTTAAGACTCTTTTCAAATTATCAGCGATTTGAAATATATACATAAACAATTTAATATTTCTTATCGGAACTAGGCAGTTAATATTCATAGATAGTGAGTATTGCTATACTAGTACCTAAGTCCAATAGCGCCATACTCGAATTATATTGACTTGTTTTAAGCCAAGTTAGAACTTTATAACATTACGCATCGAAAGTTATCAAACCCGCTATTTTGAACAACCTTTCATTTTTGTCTTTGAAGTTAATTTTTGTCTGTAACTCTATATCTACATATATCTATTTAAGCTCTTTTTTACTGGCATTACATGCGATAACGCATATCAGGGGCTTCCTACTAAAATTTTAGAAACGTGTTATATTTTTATACCCTCAATAGGGTATATTGAGTCACAAAGTTTGTAACAGCCAGTAGGAGACATCGGATACCCTATAAAATGTATATCTAAATAATCAGCGTGCCGGGCTGAGTCTAAACGCGAACTAATCCTTCAGTTTTTGTGATACCGATTGAATTTGGCGCACGTTCTCTTCTCTCCAGGAATGTGCTCATTTGTCGGAGCCGCCGATATCGGACCACTATGATCGTAATCAAGTGCTTGTATGGAAAACTTTTTTATTTGACGAGGTATCTTCACGAAACTTGACATGGATTATTATCTACAGCAATAATGCAATCTGCGAAGAAATTGATCAGATTGGATGACTATAGCATACAATTGCAATACAAATTGCATGATCGGAATTAAGTTTTTGTAAGTAATCTTTTGTATTTGTGAAGGGTATTATTAATTATAATTTATTTTTTTTTTTTGTTTTTAAATTAATTTCTTCAGATAAAATTCTTAAATAAGAATTCTATAAAAGCCTGTGGTTGTCAAAGCCAAATGTTAGTTATAAATTTAATTTTGTTAACAGTTGACACAATGAAGCGGTTGCATTCTATTAAATTGCCAATTTTTTTGGTCTTTTACATAGCCTTTTTGCCCTTTGAAGGAGCGCAAAGTGCTGTGATTGTTTTAGAAAATGCTGCGAATAAAACAGAAACAGGAAATATCGGCAAGTATTTTGATATATTGTAAAAGAAAATATCAGGTGTTTATATTATTAAAGACATTATAATAAAAAAAAGTAAAACAAATATCTTTCTGGATATTTGAAATGTTTTGTGACTTTCCTGAGTTTAGTTCTCGAAACGAGAAAAAATGTGAAATTAGCGGCATCGAAACTTAACACCCGTGTTAGCTGCATTTCTTATAATAACTATATGCATAACTAATCTGTAAACATAACCGATCAACCGCTTGAGTCCAACGGAAAACGTTTTCTAGTTCTTTCTAGCTACGTTGTTTGATATAAACAACCTTCAAGTCAAATTAAGGTTACTTAATAAGGAAAACCGATCTTTTATGAAGATCTTCATTTTGATTTTGATCGGTAAGTTTGTGTGAAAGGTATATGCTATAAAGATCCGATCTGAGCAATATGTTTGGAGATTGTGGCGCTGTTTTGGAATAATCTGTGTTAAATTTCGTGCAAATAATTTGTGAAAAAAAGTTTTCTATATAAGGACTTGATTTTGATGGATAAGTGATACGGGTGTATGTTATAGACAATACTCCTTGATAACTTTCGTGAAGATATTAGGAGTAATAAAAATTAATCTATTATTTTTCCAATAGATGACGTTATTTATCTGTATCTCGTGTTGTATAAGTCCGATCGGGTTCGGCTAGATAGCGTTAGAAAATTGACATTTCGTACTAAAAAAACTTTTCAATTTTGTGATTAGTTGATTCAGTTTTGTTTCCGTTCCGGTAATTTCGATGTCAAAGATGCACCATGCTTTGGAAGACCAATTATCGAAAAAAGCGATCAAATAATGGAATTCGCCGAGTCTAAACATCGATTATGATTGTCCAGAGCCTAAACATTGCACAAAAAACCGTTTGGAACCATTTGTATAAGGCTGATAATAAAAAGTAATAACTAAAGCATTCAATTTCATGCAAAAATAATGGATTTATTTTTACCACACCTAATATTTTATTAAATACAAAAGTTTTCCATATAAGGACTTGAGTTTGATCGTTCAGTTTGTATGGCAGCTATATCCTATAATGTTTCAATAGCAATTCCAACATATGAAGAGTTTTTTGGGAAGAAAAGGGTGTGTGCAAATTTCCAGATTAACATCTCAAGAACTGACGAACTAGTTCGCATATATACAAACAGACGGACAGCTTGTCACGCTTATCATTTATAGATATACTTTATAGGGCCTTAGCCGTTTCTGGAAACAACACAGCTGTCAGTAAAATGTGGTACATCTCGAGTCGTTGATGTAAAACCCCAAGTACCTATATCGCATTTAATTGTGAATTTCTCGTTATTTTACATATACTTAGGCTCTTTTCTATTTCCTTTAGACCAGAAATACTCGAAACTAGCTAAGGATCAGATTCTCTGTATTGAACGCGAGTGGCTTTTAGTAGGTCAGAATTATCAGACGTTGAGTGACAGCGTCTTCACAGAGTTTCTCGAATTAAGAACGTGTGTTAGTTAGTAACGATCTTTTTGTTTGATACTAGAGTTATATTGTTGTCAGATTGGTATATTGCTGAAGCTATAGTGGGTCTAAAATTTACAAACCACTCCTAGCTTTAACTTAAGCAATTTATGCATCCAAACGAGTTTGGTATACCTGTCTTTAAAAACATTCGCTTAGATTAAAATCTTCACCCTCAATAATTGTAGTAAGTTAGCCTTTATCCAACTTCCAGATTCCAAAACCAAAATTTCCACAGAAGTGGCTGCATCGGATCAGTATTTTTATGTGAGCAAAGATGAAGTAAGTGGGAATAAATAAACTTTATTAATGTTACAATTGCTTAAAAAATTATTTGTTCAATTTTTAGGTAAGCTGGTTCGCTGCCGAATATTTCTGCAAAACGCAAGGCTGGTATTTGGTTTCTATTAGAAACTTAGGAGAAGCAGTACAGTTGAATGGATTTCTACACTTTAACAGTAAGAACAGTTGTAATTACATCACAATAATAAAATTTTGATATGTGTGGAATTTTGCAGAATTAATCGTTGAACATTACTGGACGTCTGGTAATAGACTAGCTGATCAAAAGTCATGGTATTGGGATCTTCATTATGAGGCTATGGGATATACAAATTGGGCGTCAAATGAGCCAGAAACTACGAAAGCGCAATATTGTATGAGACTTACTGGCATGCTGTGGTACAGCTATGATTGTACACAATTATCAAAATATATTTGTAGAAAACATTAATAAATAAGTCCATATTGGCTAGTTGTAATAAATATATGAAAATGTACATATATACTTTTGCAATAGCTCAAACGATATATGAGCGCTGGAGACAATAGTTTTTAATAACTTGGCTGACCTTCGAAAAACAGTAATTCCAACACAGTTACAAAAATTATTAATACAGTTTTCCAAACAAGCGTCCGAAACTCTTTATATGGAGTAAATACTAACTAAGCTTGCAGGGGTCTTATACGATTGCTTAAGGTGTGTCCTTTAGTGCATGGATGCCTCACTCATTCGTGAGGAAGCGCCTTAAAACTTCTAAGATCTTATATCTTTTGAATAATACCAAAATACATGTCTTATGTTTGAGTAAAATCTCAACTAAATCCTCAGCAAAAATGTAACGGTTAAATTATCAGTGTCAAATATTGTCATGGTCTTCTACATAGAAAAGTCACTCTCGGAATGTGTATATAACAAATATGGAGCTTTAAAATACAATTTCAATTGCATGGAACAAGCAATAGAGGAAGGAAAAAGGACGAACTGAACAACAGTTACCTAAAACGATTGCACTCAATAAATCTATTGTATTGACGGATGGCTGAGCTGAATGGAAAAAAATTAAAAAAAAGTACCTGCCAAACGCTTTTAAAAACAAGAAAAAACGTTAACTTCGGTTGCGAATAATACCCTTCATAAATACAAGTGTTCTATCGATTTAATTTCGTGAAGATATCTCGCCAAGTAAGAAGTTTTTCATACAAGCACTTTGCTCCGATCGTTCAGTTAATATGGCAGCTATATGCTATAGTCATCTGATCGATATAAGTTCTTTGGAGATTGCATCATTGCCTTAAGTAATACTCCATGCCGAATTTCGTGAAGATAACTCGTATAAGGAAAGAATTTTTCATACAAGCACTTGATTCCAATCGTTCAGTTTGTATGACAGCTATATGCTATAGTAATCCGATCTAAATAATTTCTTTGAAAATTATTGTACATTGTTATAAAATATCTCATCGCCGAATATCGAGAAGATAACTCGTCAAATAAAAAAGTTTCCCATACAAGTACTTGATTCCGATTGTTCAGTGTGTATGGAAGCTATATGCTATAGTGGTCCGATATTGACCGTACCGACAAATGAGCAGCTACTTAGTGAAAAAAAGAAAGGTGCAAAATTTCAGATCGCTAGCTTAAAGACTGAGGGACTAGTTTGTATATATACAGGACAGGCGGACATGGCTAAATCAAATCAGCTCATCATGCTGATCATTTATGTATATATTTTATAGGGTCTCCGACATTTCCTTCTGGGTGTTACAAACTTCGTGGCAAACTTAATATACTCTGTTCAGGGTATAAAAGCATATCAATGCAGATATTCGCAATCACACTGCCAATTGTTGCCGCGAAAAGCTATGTCAGAGTTTCGTGCGAAACCACCAGCTCCCAACGCTGTTCATCCATTGTGTTTGCCAAACGACAATTGAGTATTTCGCGACGCTTCGCTTAGCCGCCAATAAAAATATAACCTTAAGGTATATAAACAGCAATAGAACATCCAAACGCAACAAAGCGAAAAGGTAAAGCAACAAAGGACCGGAACAACGGAACAGCAATGGTACATCGCAAGTTTCTAACCATACACACACACACACACACACACCAATGGTGCAAGGGTGCAAGAGAATGGAACTGTTATGTAAATGCGAACGCTCTTGGACCGCGCGAACTACAATCAGCCACTAGTCACTTTGCTGTTGCTGCGGTTGCCAAAGGCAGATAAAGGAAAAAATGCAGAAAGTGGAAAAGTCTGCACCCTTCAAAATGGCCAAAACAATTCACTGACTACAATACAGCAATACTGGACAATCATTACCGGCGACCAAATCGATGTTGCGGTATTTCCTGACATGTGTTTTATCGTTTGCGTTATGCGCAGTGCTTATATGGTTATACCTATTCTGACAATCTCGTGGGCAAAGGGATCTAAACACTATTTTATGAAAGCGCTTAACAAGGCTCAGGCTTAAAGAAATTTTTACCTACGCCATTATTGGATGAATATGTTCAAAACGAAATCGATATACCGTTTTGAGAAAGTACCAAGTTAATGCTAGACTAATGGTGCTTGAGTCGTGTGCTATACGAGCAGAGTTTAGCTAAAACTCTATTGAAAAAGTCATTTTATTAGGCTAAGGCGAGACCGAGATTTTCATTTATTTATTCTACCTTACCGCGCGTAATAAAGGCTTAACGGAGCGCAGAATATCTCATTCGCGAAATATTGTTTCATAGCTCTTCGTTATGGCTTCTGGAAGGAACATCGGCCACTTAAAAATGGTATTTTAAATTTATTTACAGTTCTCTGAGAGTGGACTTCTCTGAGTAGAGATATTGATCCAGGACTAAGTGACAAATTTAAATGAGTTATATGATCTATGCAAGAAAGATCTTGAAGCTACGCGACAATAGATTATATTGAAAGAGGATAAGCGTTTTAAATAATGAAAAGACTGGCCAAAGTTCTTAAACATATAGGTTTTGAGCGATAAACTGATATAAAATCAAGTTATGCGAGTCTCCAGCTTCCAAAATATTGGCTTCTTTAGTTCAACCATTAAGGCGGGTTTTTTTTTATAAGAATTTTTGCTAAAAAGTGTTTGATATTAAATGTCTCTTCTTGGTTCGATTAAGGCTAGAATCATTTCAAAGGAGTGCTCGGAATTTTAATTTAATAGTCAACAGAATAAACTTCTCTCAACAAGAGCATGAAGCCCCATTAGAAACGGCCGGAAGTTCTAGTACACAGATGTAGCAGCACTGACTTTGTCATAAGCTGAAGGTACCGACTTTAGAATAAATAACTACGAGTCTTATAGATTAAGTGCATGTGATGGTTTGTCATCAGAGTGACTGAGACATACATTTTCAGAATCATGGACGCGGCTTAGCGATTTGTCAACGAGTGTATTAGTTTCACGACGTCAATAATACATAAGTTTAAGTAACATCTATCAGAAGCAGCAGTGATGTTTTTCTATTAAAGATAGGTGGAAAGAAGGCTTATCAAGCTCAGCTCGGCTTTATTGCGGATTTCATTTGAGCTTTTAGCTTTGAAAAAATAGAAAACCTGTGCATTGAAGGACACAGCGATAGAGTGGACAACAAAAAATATATATTTTCAACAAAAAAGTTCTGGTAACAAAACGCACAGTGATATAATGGTACTTATATATAGCGAGACCCATCTACACAACTCTCTTGTCTATCAATCTATAACTAATACGTCAATGTGTTTAGAAACTGTTCACACGCTTACGCGTTGATTGAAAACAATATTTTTGCCACTTTTCGGCACTTAGCAACATCTCATCGCGCATCGTATCGCATAACGGGTCGCAGCATCCATTACCAGAGCGGACGTCAGTGGGTGATGATAGTCGCTGAGGGTAAATATTGCATATGACCCACATTCACGGCACACACATACATACGTGCAGACGCTTACACACAAATCTGCTTACTGTGCACCTTAAACGCCGCTACTACTGTGAAACGTACGCTCGCATTTGCTGATGATAAGCTTTTTATGCTACAAATAAATCACTAAAATATTTATTGGCGACCCAAAGCGCGCCGGCTTTTGCGCGTGATATTCATGAAATTGCGCGCAAAAGCATATAAAATCCTTTACAACTACTACAACAACAACAGCAAACAACACTTTGGAACGGTTATAGAAAATTCACAATACAAAGCGCATTCGGGTGTGTCTGTTTGTGTGTGGTTGTAGAGATGTATGCATGTAGTAGTTATTACCCTATTCACCTTTTATAACCAACATATTACAAGTATCTACACCGGCAACAGACGATTGGTAAATACGAATTTGTAAATATTCCCATAAATATGTTTATACATACACTAAGTGCAGAAAAGTATTTTACTCTGTGAGTGAATGTGTTCAAATAAATATGTAGCTTCTTTGCAACATTTTTTATTGCTATTGAGCTATAAATTTTTATCTCGATAAATTTGTCACTAGCGCTGTCAGTGCTACACCAAGAGCATAATCCATAGCAAAAAAAAAACAACCTATAGAAATATAGGTATGAATTTATATTGGGGTGTTCCTTATTCCTCGTAAGCTCTTATTTTGATCATTTCCTTGCTTGATCTTTTTTTATTAATTAACTTAAATTACCTATAAAAAGTCTAATCTGTTTTTTTACCCACTCGTGAGAGGCATTCCGCTTTTTCTGCTACTAGCATGTAATAAGTTCGTCATTTGCGGTGTTTGCCGACGCGAAGTGCAAATATTTTCATTTCCACAAGGACCTCATCGAATGTATATACCTCCACTAATAAGTTCATGCTAAGTGCTTGGCTTCGAAAAACTTCTCTTACAACGAACACTGCATTTTTGAGAACAACTCGCTCATAATAGAAATATAGTTTTGAATCGACGTATTTTTTATCATTCTGAGAACTACATAGTCATAATATTTATTGATTTTGTTGCCGTGTGGCTCCGAAGTTCAATTTTTTGGTAACACCTGGGCTTCGATCGAACGGTTATTCCACGACATTAGGGTCTACATATTTTAAAGGATGCGGATTTATAAATTGCCCCAGACAAAGAAAGTGTAGGAGAGTGATAATTAAAATATCGACATATTCTTAAGTGCAAAGGGCCTAATAGCTTGTCCGATATGAGGCCTACAGTGGTTTCGTCGGAAAATTGTATGAAACAAATAAATGAAGAAATCTTCTGATTAGCCTAAATTACATCAAATTTAGGAAAAGCTAACGACTGGTTTACATGCTAAAGAGACTCAAAAATCTATACCGTACTTCCGCCGAATTTTAGGTGGTCTATAAACCATCCAATTTAGCGAGTCAATTATGTGATTTATTGGCTTGTTATTGAATATATTATTGAATTGGAAGTTTTGGTACTAATAAAAGCAAATATCCCCTATGGAATATCTCCACGACAATTGTAACGGGTATTTCTGAAGTAAAAACAAGAAAAAAACGTTAGAGAAT